TGCCTATATATTACTGAACAGGATAGAGAAAACTTTGGCCTACCCATGATACACGAGAACTCCAGATAAGTGATGTTCACAGTATCCTCACATTACTACATAAAATGAAAGATCTTATTAATATTTGAGCAATTTAAACTTTCCCACAGAATGTCTTTCTAGTTCCATAAATTGTATTTTGTTGTCAGTGTATAAAACCAACAAACTTAGTTATTTTCCTTAAGTTATGTAAATTTCTCAAAATCACTTACATGCTCCTACTGCATCTTTTCTATAACTGAGATACATAGAATGTGTCAGAAGAGAAGTAGCTTGACACAGCTCTGCAATAATTGCAATTCTACAAGTATAATTTCACTGCAGTGATATACACCTAATCCATAGCAAACTTAAATGAACAGATTTACATTCATGACACTGACTGTTTTAACATCTAAAAGATTCTTTCTAGACTGACAAATAACCTCCACCAATAATGAAAGGAAGGCAAACTTTTGCAAAAAAATGCCAAAAAGGTTCTTCAGACATGAAAGCTTATAATCACTTTTAATCAGTGTTTATTTATTTCATATGGTATTTTTTATATGAAATAGTCAGCAAATATCTAGTCATTAAATTTCCTCAACTGACACTTTCTTATGGAATTCCCTAATGAAATGAGTGTAAAAGATTTGAATGTTTTACAGTCACCTAAATATTGACTCTTAATTCTACCAAGATCTATTAATCCTGTAAGCTAAGTTTCAGTCAAAAGTTGTTATAAGTTTGTGATTCTGCCATGTTCACAGTCCTAATAATCAAAGCATGTAATTTCTTTGACTCAAAGTCATCAAATAAACTCTAAATTGAGTCCATTAGTATTTGTCAAATTGTTCAAATTTTGTTTTCTCTCACATTGTTTTTATTTCTTTAGGAGGATGTTTTAATTAATTTATTCTAGGGTTTAAACCCTCCATTCTATCAACACTTTCAAGCTTCACTAAAATTAGTATCCAATAAAGGTCTCTTCCAAACCCCAAACTATTAGG